CCCCGCGCGGTCTCCACCCCCAGGCGCTGCCCCGACCCTCTCGGGCCGGCCCGGCTCTGTCGCGTCGGGCGGGAGTTGGGCGTTTGTGAGCTCACGCCCCCTGCATAGCCGTCTTTTGTCTGCTTAGCAGATTCAGATAGCTCCAGACACCGGGAGGGAGGGAAGGTAGGGGAGAGGGCAGGGGAGAGGGGAGCTGATTGCCCTCCGCGATGGAGAAATGGAACCTCAAAAAAAGAAAGTATTTGCAGTCTGGGAGCCTCTCAGCTTCTCATTATAACTTCAAGGTGAGGGAAAGACAGCTGGATTTGGGGTTCCCTGTACTGAATTGCTCTTGAACCTCTGTCCTTGTTACTTCAGGTTGATTCTTTCAGGGAGCGGATCACAAGTGAGGTGAGTGAAATAGAAAAATGGATGTGATTGATGGTTGGGAGTTTCCCAAAGAGGAGATATTTGTCGAGAGACCTTCCCACGGTTGCTAATTGAGGTGTATTTCCCCTATCCAGGCAGAAGACTTGGTGGCAAATTTTTTTCCAAAGAAATTGTTAGAACTTGATAGTTTTTTGAAGGTGAGAGATACTTTTTCTTTCTTGAATGCCCTATTTTTTGGCCCTAGTCTGAGAAGTGAGACAAACTGTGTTGATTCTGTTCTGTTTTGTTTCCTACGCTTTCGATGAAACATCTCTCTGTTTGACCTGAAAAGATGAGTGTTGCGTTCGGGTGTCTCTTTCAGGAGCCAATCCTAAACATCCATGACCTGACTCAGATCCACTCAGACATGAATCTCCCGGTCCCAGACCCCATTCTGCTCACCAACAGCCACGACGGACTGGACGGTGTAAGTGTCCTGGAGTCACCGTTGTGTCCTTAACAATAGGTCCTTGGTCTTCCCGTTTCCCGGGAAGTTTAAAGGCAGTGGGATTTATACGTGAGAACTAAGACCCGAGTTATAGGCAAGATGACTCCGGTGTTTTCTTTTTAACTCCCAGTGCCCATTCACAAAATGAGGCGAGTATGTTAATGCTACTCTTGGTGTCAGAGAGTGAGCTTCAAATAAGATAACACCCGCTGCAGCTTCCCCCACGTTCCCCACCGTTTCCCCTGGCTCTGAACAAGACTTGTTTTCCTCAAGTTGTTCTAGCTTGAGAAGCTCTAGCTGTGTGCCTGTGTTCCTTATCTTTGCTTTGGCTCCTCAGCATCTCATTTTTACCAGTCAGAGTCCGCAGGCTCTTATCTTGCATGTGGAACTGGACTGTCCTCTGTCTGCACCACTGTCTCATACATCAACCTTGTGCGTCTGGAAGCAGGGGCCCTCTTGATAAATGCCTTTGTATCCTCAGTCCCTTGCTTTGTTTCTGCTATGTAGCAGGTGCTAATTACATGTTTGTTGATTGAATATTGTGTTCATTTGTAGAACTAGCAGATTGTACATATTCCCATAATTATTCCCAACCTGCCTTGATTGCTTTTTCCTGTTCCTTACAATATCTTCTCTCCTTGATTGCTTTAAATGTGTCATATTTCTTGCAAATTTGGGCTTCTCAACATTGTGTGAGTTGCTTTCTGGCATGAGCTGCTTCATAAATCTTTTCGAAGTTGTACAGAAATCAATATGGCAACCCACAGGGTCAAGGATGGGATGAAACTGGCTTGGAGACTTGTGCGTGGCCCGTGGGTGTGGAAGGCAGGCTAATTCCTGCCTCTTTATATCCGTAGCCCACTTACAAGAAGCGAAAGTTGGATGAGTGTGAAGAGGCCTTGCAAGGTAAGAAACACCGGACTCCCCTTGAGCCTCCTCGCTGGCAGCAGCCCCGAGGAGCAGGAGCTGTCGGGTGTTCTCCAGGCCATGGAGAGACATCTGCTTTTGTTTCCTCACATCGGGATCCACAAGTCCTTCACACGTGCTTATTATTTAGCTCTCTACACCCTGTGCTGAGAACAGTGTCTGATGTGGCGTGGATCGCCATGGGAGAGTGACTGGAGGTGGAGACTGTACAGCTCAGATTTTTCTCTAAGGTCCCAATTACATATTATTTTTCCCCCTTTTAATGTTATTTGTTGCAGTTGGGCATGGTGGAGCACACCTGTAATCCCAGTGTTCTGGAAGGCAGAGGCAGGAAGATCACTAGTTCAAGCCCCGCCTGTGTAATTTAGTAATTTAGAGAAACCCTGTCTCAAAATAAAAAAATAACCCAGCACTTGGGAGGCCGAGGCAGGAGGATTGCCATGAGTTCATGGCCAGCCTGGACTACATAGCAAGACCCTGTCTCAAGAAATAAATAAATTTTAAAAAATAAATAAAGATAAAAAATAAGTTAAAAAAGGTTTAGGGATGTAGCTCTGTGAAAGCCCTGGGTTCAGTCTCCAGTGCCACAAAATAAAAATTGCTCTGTATTCTTAAAACTGTTGGCATAGTTGAGCTGTCTATTGGTGCACACATCTCTTGTTGATTCTGGCAGTGGTGTGGTAGGGTCTGGGAAGGGGAGAAAGGAGATGGTGTGACCTCTGTCCACCCTAACTGCTTGGCCCTTGCCTCCCCCAGGAACCAAGGTGTTTGTGATGCCCAACGGGATGCTGAAGAGCAACCAGCAGCTGGTGGACATCATTGAGAAGGTGAAGCCCGAGATCCGGCTGCTGATCGAGAAGTGCAACACGGTGCGTGGGGCTGGCGACCCGCGACTGAAATGCTGGGCAGGGAGGAGGGCTCGGGGCCTGGGGTGGCTTCTGTGTCCCTGGTGGGTGACCCAGCAGCGTCAGTGTTGGCTCTGAAGCGCAGAAAAGGCCGAGGCCCTCATGTGTGTTTTCATCCTCTCACCATCCAGGTCAAAATGTGGGTACAGCTCCTGATTCCCAGGATAGAAGACGGAAACAACTTTGGGGTGTCCATTCAGGTGATGTGCTTCATGACACAGTGGGGAGACCCCATCTCCCCTGCCTGGTCTTTGGGACTGCTGTGGAGTGATGTGAACGTGACTTTCATAGTACAGGGCACTGAAGCCAGGAATTTTGCACTGAGGGCCACCCCCAGTTCCTTTTTTAAATTTTGAGATAAAGAGTTTCACTGAGTTGCCCAGGCTGAGCAGGAACTTGTAATTCTCCAGCCTCAGGCTCCAGAGTGCTGGGATCACAGGTGTGTGTCGCCATGCCCAGCTTGGAAGTGGCTTTTGACTCACCTTTTTTCCCAGGAGGAGACAGTGGCGGAACTAAGAACTGTTGAGAGTGAAGCTGCATCTTACCTGGACCAGATTTCCAGGTGCAGCTGCGTGGGGTTGGCCGGGGATGGGGGGAGTCGGGGAGGCACTGGCCAGGGTCCCCAAAGCTTCCTTCTGTCCTCTCTTTCCAGATATTATATTACCAGAGCCAAATTGGTTTCTAAAATAGCTAAATATCCCCATGTGGTAAGTTGGGGTTCTGTGGTGGAGGGTGGCCTTGCTGTCCCTGCCTCCGCGGGCTGGGAATGAGCCCCGTGCTGTCCCTGCAGGAGGACTATCGCCGCACCGTGACGGAGATCGACGAGAAGGAGTACATCAGCCTCCGGCTCATCATCTCGGAGCTGAGGAATCAATATGTGAGTCGCCCCGGTCCTGGCCCGCTGTGCTGACTTCTCTTGGTTCTCCACACTTCTCTTAAAGCCCGGGCTTGGAGTTGATATGGGTAGAGCAGCTGGTGTCACCTGTAACCCCAGCTGCTCCGGAGGCCGAGCTAGGCGGGTGGGGAGTTTGAGGCCAACCCGGGCAGCCTAGCGAGACTCTTCACTCCGAAACCCCCCAGCAAATTCTCCTGCACACGGTGCCGAGCACCACGAGACCATCCAGGAGGCCTGGCTGGCGTCTGCTGCCCGATACTGTGTAGCATTTCCCAGCCTGCCATGTGAGACGTGGCCTTGTCCAAGCCCCAACCTCAGTGTTGTCCCGAAGCCGGGCCACAGAGTAGCCACCATTGACTGCACAAGACGGGTGCTTATAGCCAAGTCGGGCAGCCACAGGGCTTAGTGAATGCTCCACCCAGGGTGGCCGCTGGCGTGGCTCAGGGAAGTGTGCTCGACTCCCGTGCCTCTCCTTGCAGGTCACTCTACATGACATGATCCTGAAAAACATCGAGAAAATCAAACGGCCCCGGAGCAGCAACGCGGAGACGCTGTACTGAGGCTGGGTGGGGCTGGGGCTCTGTGAGTCTGGCCCGAGACCAAGGTTGCCTGGTTTGTTACCTGACTGTCTCGATGGGAGCCTGGCTGGAAGTAGTCACCACACCTCTCTGTTTTTAGTTAGAGTCTAATGAAACTCTCATCTAGTCCTGTGACGTGTTTACCTCTTTTTTCAGGCCTCAGGAACTGTTCTGTCTCCTTTTCCTAACCCCGACCGGCCTGTGCTCATTTCTGGAGAACTCCAGGCGTGCATGCATGGGACGGTGGCACAGATTGTGTCTGTGTCTCTCCCTCTCCCTCCTGTGTCTTAGGCTTTGTATTTTTTTCCTTTCGATGATTAGTTGGGTGGCAGCTGAGGAACCACAGGGGAAGTGCTAGGTGTTTTTAGAAGCAGAGGTGGCAGGGAGCTGTCCTCTCTTCCTGTCACTTCTTTTGCCCCTGGGAGACATCGCCGCAGTCTTCCTGGTGATAACTTTGGTTTCCTGTCTGCGTCCAGTCCACCTGGAACTTCATCCGCAGGCCGAGATGACCCCCCACCCCGTTTTATACCGGGTTTCCAGCCCCGAGGCGTCACACACACACCTGCTGCTCCATTACTGACCCCTCCTGCTTTCCCCAGCCCCTCATGCCTTTCCAGAGGCAACAGTTGTCTCAGGCGGTGTCCACACAGGCTGCAGTCGGGTCGCCTGCTCTCTGCTGTGCTCAGTAGGTGCCCAGGCTGCGGAGGGGCAGGCGCTGAGAGCCGAGGCCAGGAGCCGCCTCCTGGGACTCCTGTGCCTTGGTTGCACACAGGCCAGGCCTTCCCTCCGGGACTCTCCAGTTCGTGCTTCCAGGGAAAGCATCGCTGTGTGTGAGACAACGTGCGCACGTGCACATCTGCGTGTGTGGCTGCTGGGAGGCCACATCTGCTGCCGCCTTTGAATGCCCAGAGATGCCACTCACTGTCCGAGCCTCTGTGGGGACCCCGCCACCCCGCTGTTTTAATTTTGCTACCACTGGGAGTTGCTGCCTGCGGTCAGCCTGCCAGTGGCCCTCGCCGCCTGTCCGATGTGCGTTCCTCCCTGTCTGTCTTCCACGCCCCGGTCGGTCGTTGCCAGCCTAGGACGCGTCGTCCTCCGGCGCTCTTCCTGGATAGTTCTCAGTAACAAGCCAGCCCGCGCAGCGCTCTCCCGCCCTGTGCCCCTCCTGTCTGCTCTTCCGCCACCCTGCGCCCTTTGCCCCTCGGATCGTAATGTAAAATTCTTTTACCTTGTTGAGAAATTATTAAAAATACAGGTACTTGGACCTCTTTCTAAAGTTGCAGACCCTGGTGCCATGCTCTGGTGGCAAGGACAGAAGCACGCATGCACGTGCAGATCTGCCTCCAGGGTCACCAGCCCACCCACAAGCGTCCTTCAACCCTCTGGGGTCGTGAGAGACAGGCTCCTGCCCAGCACAAGGGAGCCTCGAGTTCAGGCTGAAGTTGGCTCCTGTCAAATCTTGTGCCCCCTGTGCCTGGGGCTGGGGAGGGTCCCTGTCCTCCCCAGTGATACCCAGTGCTGCCAGTAGAGGGTGCTGTGGTCCCATCCTTGGCTTAGTTGACTGAGAGGTGCCTGGCCTTGGGTTCACGTTACTTGGAGGGCTGCCTAGGACTCCTGGTCTCCCTCTGAAAGTCCTTGACTCCCACCTTGCAAGCAGGGTCTTGGTGGTGACCCCTCTGTACCACTCCATATAGGGCGATGGCGCAGTTGGCCACCTGTCCTGTTCATGGGCTGAGCACTTGATTTTGTGATCCCTAAGATCACACAGCTCCCAGAGCCGGGACCAATGTACAAACTCAAAGGCTGGCCCAGGCTCTTACCACCCAGACCAAAGGCGCAAGACCCAGGCCCCGGCCCTCCTGTGGTAAGGCCTGGGAGGGTGCCAGAGGGCTGCGTTCTGCCCGTCCAAGCGGCAGCTGGAGTACAGCCTCATCCCACAGTGGGTGTCTGGTACCGACCGCTTCTGGTGAACTCTGGACCGTGCCAGGCTTTTCATGTGGAAGGAGCACCTCAAGCCAAGCCACTGGACAGAAACTTGGAACCGACTTCAGGTGGACTTTCCTGCCCCACCTACATGATGAGCGCGTTCATTCCTCTCCGTTGTAGTGAGGATAAGGCCACCTGGAGTTGTCCGGAAACCAAGGGCGCTGCTCGTGAGCTGCTCCAGCCCCAGCTCCCACTATGAGCCCCAAGTTGCTGCTGGTGCTCCTGTGCTGTCCCTCATCGCTGTCTTCGCTCTGGCCGGTGTCTTGCTGACCAGGCAAGGCCACACTGGCCTCGGTCAGCTCATCGCAGACCTGAGCCTAGAGGAGCTGGTGGTCGTGCTGAGCTTCCTGACTCCTCGGCTGGGCCTTTGGACACCTGTGTCTACTCAGTGGAGTTGCACCTGTCCCGCAAGGCCACAGCCCTGGGTCCACACTCCCGGGAGGCGCTGGCCATCATGTTCTTTGGGGCCCAGGCCCAGCCCAACAAGCCAGCTGGTGATGGGGCTGTTGCCCCAGCCGTCCTACCTGTAGGATGTCACTGTACAGCGGCCCCCTGCCCTACCACTGGCGCCCTGTGCTTGGAGCTGAGTGTGCAGATGTGGAGGCAGGGAGGGGTGGAGCTCACGGGCTCCAGCTACAGCGCCTGCGTCCTGACCTCCAGCTGCTCTCCCAGGTCTGCAGTCAGGACTGGGCCATGTGGTTTGGCCTGTACTACAACATCTCGGGTGCCGGTGTCTTCCTGCAGCCCATGGGGCTAGAGCTGCTGCTGGACCACAGAGCCCTGGGCCTGGTCCGCTGGGCTGTCCAGGTCTTCTACCTCAGCTGCTATTATGCAGACTTGGGCTGGCTGGAGGTGGTCAGGGTGCCTCTGCCCTCCCCCAGTGCTGCCTTACCCCTCAGGTCCCGGGCCCCTAGGTCTGCTCCCACCTCTCCAGTTCCTACCGCAGGCCTCCTGGAGCAGTGTGTGAGGGCACTCACCGTGTCCCTGCTGTGGACATTCACCTTTGGCCTTGGGGTGTTTGGTGGCCTGAGGATGTCTGATGTCCAGTGTCAGGGTGAGCGCGTGGCCTACAAGGTCAGCGTCCAGGAGTCTTGACTGTGCAGTGCCGACTTGCCCAAGACCGTGGTGACCCGCCCTGTGGATGGCGCCTATGGGCTCGGCCGTAACCACCAGGCCTGGCGCGGTCATGGACTGCCCCTACCAGGCCACCGTGGTGGACGTGCACACCCTGGGGGTGGGGGACGGTGGCTGCTGCCTAGGCTGCCCCTGCACAGGCATTCCCGCTGCATCGAGTCATTTCCGTATGGGTTTGGTCCATTGTGGGCTGGGCGGAGTCCCGTGGGCAACTCTGACAACATTTGGGGACTTTGCGCTGCATCCCAGTGGGGCACTGGAGGGGCAGGTCCATGCCATCAGCCGCTTAACAGCCCTGCTGTGTGGGGTTCGGGAACCAAGTGAGACTGTGTGCTGGGGGCGGTGCGCACATGTGCCTTCCGCTTAAAGGTGGGTCTGGACATGGCCAGTGGGCCTGGTGAGGAGGGAGGGCTGGGCCAGGGTGGGGCAGGAACCCCAGGTCCGGCTGGGGAGGTGGCTGGCAGGCTGTGCTGGCTGCTGCGTCTGGGCCCTCTCCCTTCTGCAGCCTCACTTGTGAAACCGGTGGAAATGTGCAATGCTCATGTCTAATGCCTCAGCCTTGGGGCCGGCAGGGGCCACTTGGGGAGGCCACCTGGCCAGGAGCCGGGCAATTTGCCTCTTGCCCACTAATTCCCAGGATTGGGTGAGTGGAGGCAGACCCAGGAGGGGGGACCGGGGCATGGGGGACCTTGGCTGGGGTGCTGCACCTTGAGTGCCGTCCTCATCACGAGGGACCCGGCACGCAGGGCTGGGTGGGGGTAGGGAGGGGAGACGCAAGGACACCGTCCACGTCGTCCTGTTCCCCGCCGTGCACTTAGACTGTGGCCACTCTCTGCTGGAGGTCCCTCAGCATCCTTGGCAGTAAAGAGCCTCTTGGAATACTGGGTCAGGCCCCTGCTGTGGACACCTTGGGGAAGACGAGGGGCCCGAGAGCGACCTCACTGGCATGGACTCCTCTCTCTTCCCTTCCCCTGCAGGGCTGCACAATGGGGTGGTGGCGGAAGACGTGGTGTTTAAGCCTGTGGCTGCCCCCTGGAGCCTGCAGCACAGCTGAGCCACCAGCTCAGGCGTCATAGGAGGTTGGTAGTACGGACAGCGCAGGGCCTAGCTGCTGGCCTCTGGCCGTAGGTTTGAAGGAACGGTTTCCACTCTCAGATCTGGGGCCCAGGGCTCATCCCTGGAGTGGCTGAGAAGCCCTGTACACCGAAACCTGCTGGCTGTGCAGACAGCGGCTGGGCAGTGTGGCTCCAGAGGATGGTGCTTCCAGTCCTGCGTCCCACGCTGTCCAGCTCCTCCTCCTCCTGTAGGATCTGGTGGTGTGGGTGACAGCAGCTTCTGAGGACATTGCCCGTGGAGAACAGAGCTGGCTTCTGCTCCAGCCCTATAGCTTCTTCGATGAGGACCCTCCGTCTCTGCCTCGGGCAGTGTCTACTATAGCAGGGACCAGGATGCTGGGCTCTGCAGTGCCGACACGGTGGCCCGCTCTCCTCGATTCGCAGCCTGTGTCCCTGACTTGCCCCTTTGCTCTTACCAAGGACTCTAAGGCCTGCAGTGTGACAGGATGTCGGGGGGTGCAGACACACACGCCTTCCCCTCTGTCTTCTGTGGTTCTGTCTTACTTGTTTCCCCAGACTGCTGAGGAAACGAAGTTCCCACACCAAATCCCCACACATTCCTTTGGTGAATTCCTACTTTCTGCTCAGTTTTTTTAAGTGATAGATTTATCAAAATGATTTTGAAATACTAGTACCGAACCACAAATCCTCCCCCTCAGAACTAGCTGGAGTTCACGTGGTAGCAGAGATTCCCTCGTAGAGGGGTCTTCTGGAGGAAGTGGTCATAAAAAGCCTTCCAAGAATTTCCCCTGAGTTGATGCTGTTTGACTTCTTAGTATCTATAGCGCCCGGATAATATGAAAGAAGCAGGCCAAGGAAATCGGCCATGGAGCAGAGCGGCCAGGCCCAGAGACTTGGCCAAGGAATGTTGCTGGCTTGGAAGCTGAAGGGGCTGGAGCTGAGGGCCTCCCTGTCACAGCAGAGGGAACATCTGGCTCCCAGGAGACGTAGCAGGCTGGGGGCCTAGGGCTGCAGGGGAACCCAGCTCCTCCTGACGGGGGGGCCCCACCCCAGCCTCAACCCTGACCCAGAGGCAGAGTCTGATCCGGAACTGGGAGGACAGCCATGTATGGTCTGTGGAAATCACAGCAGTGGCTAGGACCCGCCCTCCAGCCTGGCCCAAGCCTCCACCCCACCTCACCCTGCTTCCGTCCTACCCGCAGCCTGGCTGCATCCACGGGGGACCTCAGCCGACTCGGGGATCTCAGCGGACTCACACCCCTTGGGGCAGCCCAAGCCCCTCCAGCGCTGACCCAGAACGCACAGCCCCAGCCTAAAGGAAGGCTGGCTGCCCTCTCGGGGCCATGAACCAGAGGACCACGCTGGCGCTGCTGGCGCTGGCCGTCATCACCATCTTTGCCTTGGTTTGTGTCCTGCTGGCCGGCAGAAGTGGAGATGGAGCCCCTTCAGGCCAGCTGCCCCCATGCCCATCGGCCGCGCCCACCGCC